TATTTTTACTGCTAGATAAGCGTAGAGCCCTCATTGGGCGAGTTCCCATTTTGTTAGAGACGAGTTTTTACCACAGAATCCATTACGTCTTTGGTTAACTGCACTCTATACATGGACCTGCCAGTAACCGTCTACTGGTCCATTACGTCAGATGTCAGTAATTTATCATCACGATCACAAAACATAATGCAACCACGTTACGAGATATCGCCGTAGATATTAAAACTTTAAACGAATGCTAGAGTAAGTGTATAGTATAGTCACACGTTTATAATGCCGGATGATCTTTAAGTGACGCTCAGTAAATTCTTGTTTGGTCACGTAATATTAGAACATCTTTTATTTTCTCATAATATTGAAGGTCAACTAGTTGCATCTGAGGTAGCAGACGCTCAGACGTAGGTTGCACGAAGATTGATGCGTCGGCTGAGCGTGTTCCAAAATGCGAATGTAGCTATGCAATATCTGATGGTCATTTCTAAACATTTAAAATAATTACCGGACTGTCTATTGTCCTTAAGGTTATTTTCTTTTTATGTTTCTCTGTATACACGTTACACTGTTCTCACATAATCAAACCAACTACATAATGTATCAAATAATCTTTATGTGACACTGATTTAAAAAGAGTAACCATGGAGTTTCTTGCTCGTTCTTCTCCATCGGAATCTACACTTTCACTAAGAGGACTGACCAACAGACTGAAAACTTTATATCTTTAAAATTTTGTTTGACGTTCAAAAGTGCCTGTATAAGTCTAATTGAAATAAATGCTTTTAACTTTAACTGTGACTTTGAATTACCTAATCCTTTTATCACTGAGATAAATATCGTAACTACGTATTTTATTCGCTCGCACTAATTTATCATAGCAACCAACTATCGGATTAGTAAAACCTTTTTGTTTATTCTTGAGCAAGATCTCATCTACTATTACTATGACAACTAGGAAAGGAGAACGGGTGATTTAGTTAGTTATATACAGTGGCATAACGACGATTATCACATCTAAATTAGAACCTTGGAGTGAAATAAAGCATAAGAATTCCATTGCCAATTAGGATTAAAATATTGAATCTTATCTAGTTTAATTGCTCCACATTTGTAAGAGATTGCAATATATAACTGCAGTATTTCATTCTTATATTGCAATCGGTATATCAGAAATTAAATCGGTGAAGCATTATTCGATGCATTTCATACCAAACTGTAGGTATGTGTCTAAACTACATGTCTATGCTTGCAGTTTCATGTTCGCTGGCAGAATAATTAATTGTCTGATCTAATCAATGACTTAATGATTTCATTAAAAGACTGAACGCTGAACGCGTAGTTATGCGTATGACGCTGTCAGGTGGTTATTTCACAATACTTTGGCTATGCAAATAAATGTTTTACATATAGAATTAGGAAAATAATATTAAACAAGTACTTTATATGAAGTTAGACGTCCTTATCATTTATTCAATCGTATTATTATTTATTCGAGGTAGCCCTTTATTTTATTTTTTTAATATATTTTTTTCAAATCTTTTTTAGTCTACATATTATTAATCTACAATAATTATTTATTATAGTTCTATCATGTTATGTTCAGGTAGAGGCTACGTTGATTTTTAAAATGACAAAATTCGGATTTGGTTTTTTATTTACGACCAAGGACTTGGTCGTGTGCCCTACTTATAATTTACTTTTTATTTGCAAGGTAAATAAAACAGATAATTTTATTTAATTATAAGTAGTCACTAGACATTGTCGTGGAAACTCGGTTGTTAAGACGACCGCTTCTTATGCATGAGCATTCGAAACAAGTCCAAAGACACTTTTTTCAAGTTGTATTACTTTCTTAGTTTATGTCGACGAAATTGACACACGGTAAAGGAATATATCGTGTGAAAACTTTGTAATCGCCAATCCGCCTTAAGCAAACGTGGTGATTAATGTTTAAACCTTTTTCGTGTGAGAAGAGGCGTTTGCTCAGCAGTGAGCATTTGCGTTGAGCAATGGAGTTAAGAAAAGTAGTCTCGAAACTAAGCTTACTTAGGTTCTTATCTTAGTTAAATTGATTTTTCAAGTTTTGAGTAAAATGTTAAGTATGAAAATTCTTTTATATTTAGGAAATTTAAAACTGGTACTTGACCTTGCCTCGTGTTTTTAAAATGCCTATAATAGAATACCTGCCTATATAGAAACAGATGCAAAACAAAAACGAGCTTATTTGACATTTTACAAAAAATTCAAGGAGGTAACTTGCTTTTTCCACATAAAGATAACGATTTAATAATACCTTATATAATATTATTTAGTCTTATATTTATAGTACTGGTCAGAACGAGATTCTAGTTTGCACTTCGACCTTTAAGATGACTCGACGGTTAGTATTTACAATACTCACAGACTACAGTTCCTAGGGTTATGTAACAGTTCAGGAGTTGCGTCAACCGAGGCGGACTTGTAAAATCAATTCGTAGCGAGATCAACAGCAAGTTTTATGTTCCTTCCACCTACCTGTGTTGGAGTACTCTTTCATTCGATGACTACGATGTGATGAAGTCTCTTAAAAAGTCCCGATAAAGTATACTAAATTGAGAGCAACACTAAAACTCTATTTTATAATGGTCTGATAGATTAAAAGGGATTAAGATATTCTGGCAGTATTGTTAAACCTATTTATTCAAATGAGAATTTTAAATATGTACACAATAAAAAACTTTTAGGCTTTTTATGAATTTGACTCTATGTAAAAATACTGTCAAAAGTACTGCCTGCCTATCATTTTTTTTTTCATTTCTGTAAGTAAAGATTCTTTTTATTGAATTGATTTATGTACTTTAATTTTCAACATTGCACGTTAGATTGAAATAGGACATATCCGTCATTAGACATTTAAATTCGTTATTACATACATACCGGATCATTAAAAGCTGTTTTACGTAAATCATTACATATTACGGGATAATTGTACTAATGAGAACTTCTATTGATTGTGTGTCGAAAGATTTATTTTATAATTTATTGTTTTTACGCTTGTTGGTAGGCGCCACTGTCTATTATTATCGTTATAATTAATGATGAATTCAAAATTTAATAGCTTTGTAATTATAATAACAAATTATAAGTATTATAAGTTATAGAAAATCCTTAGCTCTATATAAATAGCAAAGCTTTTATTAATGTTCATTATGATGTACAGCGCAATTATTATTTAGTTGGAAATATAGGGTATATCATAAAATAGTTTAAATATTTAATAAACTGGCAACATAACGTATAGGTGTAGCACGTTGCAGTCGTGTATAACTATAACGATTAGATATAATTAACTTAGATATATTTTGTACTAATCATAGCGTTCACTAGTCAACGTCAAATAAAATATGAAACGTTGTAAATATGACAGATAAATAACAGCTCAACTAAACGTAAATTAAAACATTTTAAAAAGGGTTGAACTTAAATAATATAGATATGATTTTATAATATTGTCCTAAAACGATTACTAGTCACATTATAATATAAAGGCTTATTTCTTGGATAGATTAACTAAGATAATAATTGTGTATTCCACAATTGCGTAAGTCTTGCGGTTTAAATGTCCGTGTTCTATATAAATTGATAGTGGTCAAAGGTGAATGTACTACTAGTCTATCTTTCCTTATTGCTTAATAAAATATAATAATTAATAATTTACTTAAACGGTTCAATTTTCTTATATCATAAGATTTATTCTTTACAAATTTCGGGATGACAACTGATTTATGTAATTTAAGAAGTAGAAGAAAACGAACCCAGGACACGCAGCAGTTGCACTAATAAGAACACAAATAACAAGGCAGTTCATATTTAAATAATGACTTATTCCATAACACCTAGACAGCCTTTTTTTATTGTCAGGGGAAAATCATCAAATGACTTACTAACTAAAAACCCCCCTGTTCCTTCTCCTGCTCTGGGCCGAGTTCGCGGTGCCTCATTGCGTTTGCCCCGCAACCCCGGCTGAGCCCTACTAGATAAATTTGAATGTACGTAATTTGTATGAACTATGTATGTACCAAATAAGTTTATAGTAAAACGAAACTATTACACTATTTATAATAAGCAAATAACATACTACTTTAAAGAGATTGCATAACAAGAGCTTGATGAAAAGGAATGCCACAGCTGTGTTTGTCTGTAGTTACCATCGACCTACCTACTGAATAATTTAGCATTGGATGGATGCTATTTCGCACAATCGAGAATCGTTAGTAGTGTTCTCTTAAAGTGAAAGTCGTCACAGCAAGCGAACTTTCGTTATCTCCATAACTACCGGGAACGGCCTAATATGCGCAAGAGTCGGTCGTGATTGAACGGGGACGATCATTTTCGCACGAATTTTAGAATCTAGTAATCTAGACCGATTGTCCAATTCTTTTCTATTGCAATGAAATTGCTTCCTGTTTGCATTTAAATTATTATTAAATTACTACTAACCTATAATGTTTTGGAATAGCACGGTGCTTTTGGCTACACATATACATTTTTGTTGAAAAAATAAGTATAAGTAATTTGTATGATGTGGAGCGCCCATTATTCAAGGGGCGTGTCCATTGATCTATGTGGGAACTGGACACCTTTGACCTCTAAAATCGTGTCCATTATCTACAACTTATTATAGTATAGCACAGTTCACATTAAACAAGTTGTAACCAAGTTGAACTACATTTTATATATTTTATGAACCAATATATATTTTCAATGTTAGTTATTGAGGAAAAGGAAAGATTTTGTAAACAACAACCTTGTTTACATTATAAAAATAGTATTTAACTCTTAAAATAATAATTACCTCCAAAATTACGTGTTAAAACGATGTATTCACATTTATTGATATTCTCCTTATAAAAGACATCAACGCGTTCACAAGATAATACCATTGCTAAAACTGACGTATTATCACACAACATATAAGGTAACTTCAGTAAACGTACGTTATTACATAATTACTTTTTGATTTTCAGGAAAGCCAGGCACAGATTACCCAGTTCTTGGTGCGGTGCCATATACAAACTTTTACTGCGATGACCAGCCTTATCCAGGCTTCTTCGCGGATATGGAGACACGTTGTCAAGGTAATTATAAAAAACCAAGAGTCAAGAATAATAATAAAAATGACAATTGTTGCGATCCTGAATATATTTCTCACCACCTGTCATGTTCTATGATTTACATTTTTTTCTAACAATACCTAGGCCTTAAGCACTTTCAATTATAATTTGTCATACGTTCTCAAATCTTTTGATTAGCCTGATGGCATTCTATTGTGTATTGATGTACACCTTCGTTTTTGAAATGCAAGATATTAATCTTCCAATAAATCTTAGAATAAAAGTGGGTGTACTTTTATCTATACATATAATAAATCTGTAGAAAAGTAATTTTTGTACATTGAATAAATTGAAGAAAAAAATAGCCAGCGTGTTAAAGGATAACTAACCGAACCCATTTTCGTAATTTTTGTCATTTTTGTCTGTTTGTCTGTTTATATGTTTGTTTGTGCGCGCATCACGTAAAATCTACGAATTCAATGCAGACAATGCTTATATACAAAAATTCTACACAACTTGAGGTATAACTTAGTTTTTGTTTCATCGAAATCGGTTCACTCTATCACAAGATATGATTAATTTAGTGAGTCAAGAAGTAAAATATTACAACACGCATTTCCGTATAGGTAGTACTTGCAACGACACCTTAAGACAAAAAATAGAACTAATGTTGAAAGTTGATATCTTTATTCGATAGATGGCGTTGTGCAAATACGTCATGATTAATAATTATTAATGATTAAATGATTAATTAAGACAATATTGCGAGGATTTTTCATTTTCAACTCAAAGTTTTGATTTTTCTACTTACAAAGGAGAATGTTTTCGGTTCAACTCTGTGTTTTATGTATAGCGTCGAGTGGCAAAAGCGTGGTTTACCCTATGCGCACATTCTTTTGTGGCTGGACGAAAAAATTCGTCCCGACGCTATAGACAGTGTCATAAGTGCAGAATTTCCAGACCATAGCGCAGATCCGATTTAACATGACATAACCACCTTGCTCGCATTTTTTCGCTTTTGCGAAAGAGACAATTTCGCCAAGTCTCTGTTGTACAATGAAGTGCCACATTATTATACTTACTACAAGCAGCAAGGTGTTTTTAAACGCAGGAGACGTGGAACTGCTGTAGAAGGTGAGCCGTATACACGGTGCACCCAAATAATGCAGTGTTATTATTTACGCCTTCTCCTTCACATAGTGCGAGGGCCTACTTCTTTTACTGATTTCCGCAAAGTGGACGATATAGAATATCCCTCATTTCAGGCTGCTTGCCGCGCACAGCCTTTATTATATGGTGATCAGCATTGGGATGATGCTTTAGCCGAAGCATGCGTCAGCGATAGTCCACATCGTCTTCGTCATTTGTTTGTTTTATTGACATTTTGTGGCCTATCGGACGCTGGGCAGTTGTGGCAAAGATATAAAGCCGCGTTTGCCGAAGATTTTTTTAGACAGGAAAATTGTAATAGAGAAACTTCTGACCAAGTACGGGAAAACTGCTATAATAAGTCTTGGCTAGCTATACAAGATATAGTTATAAGTATAGGAGGGAACCTTCTTAGTCAATACGGCTTGCCAACGCCGACAGCTGGTGGGGAACCAATTAATAGGGAGTGTGCATCGGAAATAAATTACAACCCTGAGGAGTTATCAGAAATAGGGCTAAATGGCTGTTCAAATTTGACGTCAGAACAGCGTCAAATACTTGATAGAGTATATGCTGTAGTATAGAAAATTCTTTAGGGGAAATATTGTTTTTAGATGCACCTGGTGGAACAGGTAAAACTTTCCTCACCAAAGTTATCTTGGCTCAAATAAGGAGCCAAAACAAAATTGCCCTTGCGGTGGCCTCCTCAGGAATTGCAGCCACTTTATTACCAGGAGGAAAAACTGCAAATAAAATATTTAAAATACCAATCGACTTGGAGCGCACAGAAAACCCTGTTTGCAACATCTCTCGCAATAGTGATAAAGTTATGGAAGCTGTAGATAGAACGTTGCGAGATATAAGACAAAATGACCGACCAATGGGCTTAATGGTGCTATTCTGTAGAGACTTTAGACAGACACTCCCTATAATACCCAGAGGAACGAGGGCCGATGAAATAGGTGCATGTTTAAAGAGCTCTTTTTTATGGCGTAGTATCATATCATCCAATTTGAGCTTTAATATGCGAGCACATTTGGGAGGTGACGCGAACGCGCAGGTCTTCTCAAATTTACTACTTCAAATTGGTAATGGTACATACAAGGCTCAAAAAGCTAGGTGTTAAAGTAACTTTAGTCGAGAGCCTGTGTTCTTCTGTTGCCTCACAGCAAGAACTCATTTCTTCTGTATACGGAGATCCATCAGAAATCTCGAACCATGACACTGCTTGGCTATGCCAACGAGCTACTTTGGCACCTCGCAATGACCAAGCAGCAGCAATCAATTCTCAAATATTGGTACACGTTTCTGGAGAAAGTAGGGAATATTCATCTATTAACACGGTTTTGGAAGAAGGAGATGCCACCCACTATCCAATAGAGTTTTAGAGTTTTTTTTGTATATGCCCGGAGCATGTAATTCCACCGCTAATATAGTATAGGTATAGGGAAGCATTAACGTAATCAGCTATACCAATATTACTAAATAAATATATACTACAGTCAGGACCTTAAATAGCAAAAAAAAATTTTCTTTCTTGAGTGGAGTTTATATGTGTATAGCCTACTGTTATATAATCGATGTTGTTTTGTTTTCGACAACCACGCGAACGAAGTCGCGGGCACAGCTAGTCCTCAATATAATACATTAAGAAAAAATAACTAGACAAATCATATTAATTAGGACGTGGGTGTATCATCATTGTAGTTCTTTTGTTCGAACAATGGCTTTGCGATTTTGTGTCTTCAACCTTGGCCGTGCTATAATGATTTACTTCACTGACCTTATAACACTATGAGGTCAGATAAATTATAGCTTGGAGTAACCCGGAACCTGCTCTCGATACGCTGGGCTAAATCGTGAGCACTACATTAAAAAAATACTCACTATATTTAAATTGATAGAATCGGCTCTGTCTTACAATAATTTATTAAATAATTAACATGATTTATAAAATTGTACTGAAGTTAATTGATGACTGTTAGAACAAAAAAATACGAATGACTTCCTGGTCATCCAATTTAGACTTGAAGAGCCACTACTTAAATATTTAAAGTAGATATTATTGATTTGAACGTGAATGTTCCCATAACAGTTTAATTATAATTAAATGGAGACGCCAACAAGCCTTCTCGAACAAATTTGCATAATATGAAGTTAATTAAGCAATCGTTTCCATATTTCTGTAGATAAATGAAGCAATTGATTTAAGTTTAATAAAATACTATGCAATTGGTAAAACTGATTAATGAGGTTATTTTTGTTTTATTAAAATCTGAACATTGATCTGTGACTTTATGTACAGTATTCCGTTTTAATGTTCAATGGCGATAATCCAAAACGCATATCGTGATCATAAAAGAGTACTTTACTTTTAAATTCTCAATGCTTCTAAATACGAAATGTGTGCCGCTAAGGTAAAATGTAAGGCAATTAACTAGAAATAGGAACTGTAAAACAAACAAGATGCCCTATTGTCTCCACGGACCTATGGTCTGTGTCAAACTTCCAGGGTTGCGAGTGCAAGCATACTTTAATTTACTGCAGCCCTGGAGTAGGATAAGGAAGGACTTAAAATCACCCTTTTAAGTCAGTAAGAGTCTTGAATAATATTTACGGGTACTTTTTTGACATCTATAAAAACGATATTCAGTGCAAATATTGTTACGCAAACCGGCAAACCCATTCATGATCGATGAAAGAGTATTTCAATAACTTCAACAGATTTATTGAAGCTTGTTTGAGGGCTCGCTTGTCGCGGAACATTTTGCAATACGAGTATGTGACATTACTCAATGTTAACAGTAGTATCAATCAAGTAGTTCGCCCTATTTGTAGGCCAAGTAGATTCTTTAACCTTTTCTTTGAAATATTTACCTTCGGTTGCGTTTGTGTGTAAATTGCAATGCAATAGGCTTTGCTGTTTCGATATCGTGACGAGTATCGAGTGACGGGTTACTAATTAGTTACTATTTATTAACACGTAACTTTGAATTGATTTACAATATAATAAATTTTGCTGTATGGTAACAAGAGCAGAGCTATTGAGTTTAATACTTCGATGCAATATGCATAACGTAAATCTCAATCAGAAATTAATGTCAAAATCAAAATCATTTATTCCAACTAAACCATTAATAGGTATATTTGAAACGTTAAAATAGAAGAATAGTGTCAGAAGAATCAGTCTGTTGGTCAGTGAAACTAAGTGCTCGTTCCAATTTGTAGATTCGAGAATGAATGTAATCTTTCGTGAATTACCACTTAATCAATACAAAAAAACTGCTTTTCAATTTAAAATCATCGAATTAATTATTTACTTTTGTTTAATATTGAATATTGTTGTTTAATATTTTATTATCAACTCTAAGTGTCATTTGTTAAATTATATTCTAAATTTCTAATGAACTATCTTACGTTTTCCAGCATGGCACTACTGTGACATCGATGGTCGTCAGGCCTCATTCCTCTGCCCCAACGGAACCGTATTTTCGCAGGGAGTAGCATCCTGCGACTGGTGGTTCAATGTGCGGTGTGCATTATCACCCGCCCTCTACCGGCTAAACGCGCGGTTGTACCGTCGCAAGAAGCAAACCAGGCCGAAACCACATCGCCTCATAGACAAGAAACTTATTTCAGAAATATTTTTGTAAATATTTTCTAGTTACTTTGTTAATTGCCATGAGTTGCCAGGTATTATATAAGTTCTTCAGGGTAGTCTATCAGTAAAATTTTACACATTTCATATGTAAAAAATACTATAATGTAGCTATTAATGTTATAGTGTAAATTCTGTTACATATACACCGTGATACATGAGACTGTCCGAGCATGGTTAAATATAATCGTCCTTTAAGTAAGTAGAGGATTTTGTACAAATAATTGTGTAGGATTGTGCTCACGCCTGGCAGGCAACTGATAAACATGTGTACGCTGGAACCAATTATTTTAATCAGAACATAATCAGGTATAAAAAAAATTAACAGAAAATCAATATTTGGCTACTCATCGGAATTAAACTTGCTTTGTAAGTAATAGACTTAATAAGATGCTTTTATAAGTATTTAGATAGTAATTACTGTAATAATCTATAGATAAATTTAAAAAGCTCTAATTTATTTGACGTTTCACAATCACTCAATATGCTCATAAGCATATTTACTTTTTGTATTGCGTCAAAATTTAAGGGTCTTACAATCATGCCACTAAGTTTCTTTCTGTAAAAGTACACTGAAAAATTTATTCTTTTTTAAATAAAAAATAATTTCATACTTACTATAAAAAGTACCTACAGTTATGATACAATTATGTGATCATCATTTGGTCTCAAAATTTCGACAACAATTACGACGGAAATCGGTCGCTAAGTCCCATTTAAATTAATAGATTTTCAATTTTATTATACAGTGTTGAAGGTGAAAATCTAATAAAGAAATAATTAACTTAGCTATCAAATTTTGTCGTTATGTATGTCGGCTTACAAGATATTAGTACATTTTTAAAAGAAAATTTTGAAGATTAAAGTACTGTGTACTAAGTAGAAAATAGATATGTATCTTATACATAAGTGTTAATAATGTCACTGTGATAGAGGTCTCTAATGTATGACACAGTTGTGTATAACTAATCTGTCTAGATAATACTATTGTTATTTTATCTGTACCTACACGAGTTAAGTGTGTAAATGATGAACAACAATTCATGTATTTCCACACATGTAAAATTGTAGACAAGCACTTGGCAGTTAACCTAAAAACAAAGCAAAGAAATAAAAGAAATTGGATCATTCTCTTAATTTATAGCATTTTGAGTTTTTCGTTCTGAGTAACTTATGATATTCACTATTATATATTTTTCAAAGGGCGAATACAATATGTCCATTATTGGTCTTAGCCAAATTTGTATTTCCAGAAAATAACTTCTAATTGTAGTAGATATGTATAGTAAAAACCTATATTATCAGTAGGCCAACCGTCAGGATTGTAACACATCTTTATAAAGACTTATAAAACTGTATGAGTAAGCCACCTTTGACCTATCTATCAATTTAAAGACGTGAAAGTAAGATTTATGAAGTTAAGGAGCTTAGAAGTAAGGACAAAACACTGCCATGGATAGAGACAATAATCACAGCTAGATATACTTTGTACATATACATATATTTAATGACAGATTTTAATCATCGTGATTATCCATTGCAAAACGTTCTGATAAGTTCATACCTCCCTCTGTTATATTCCCTATGTTCAGATATTGACAATAGGTAGTTCAGAGAGCTTTGTATAATGTGGTGTCAAATCAGTCACGTGTTTTTTCGTAAAACTGAATGATTAATTTAGCTTAAGTGATTACTAGCATTTGTAAATATTAAAGTGACATTTTTATTAGTTGAAAAAATATCTGTCTGTAAAAGGCTTGAAGATTTATAGATACATAAACTATTCGAAATAGAATTCAATAAATATGTAATGTAAGATACTAAATGTTTTTATTTTTCTTTTGTCACGCTTCGTTAGTTTATATTCCAATTTGAGATGTTTTAGACTACGAGTAATTTACAATATTACTTTAAGCGACACGGCTTGCTAACTACATACGATGACATAGAAAAATGAACTTGTCGGATATACATTACAGTAGCAGATAGGACCAATTTTTGTTTGTCATCTTTATGAACCTTATTGATAGTATCAGTTGAGAAATTTAAAGTTATATTTAGAAAAGAAAATGCCGTACGTGGCTCTCCTGTTTCTACAACATATATTATGTCTACCATACACCCTAGTCTATTACCCCTTTATTACAAAACAGGATTTTCCTTTAGTCGGTTTAAATCATTGAGTCAGATTTTGTATTTTGAATCTTATTCTCGCCAACCTTCAATTTGAAATACAAAAACTAGATTTAGACCTAGACTAAAGATAACCCTAGTTTTTGTTATACGGCAGTTAGAGATTTTCTTTACCTAGTCTAAAACTGCAACCAGCTTCTAAAAGTGACCTAACTAACTAAACCAAACCTCTCGCCCAGCGCAGCATGAAAATTGTGACAAATCGTTCTGAGGAAGGATTTTTCAGCCGTGGACGTCTCCCAGTTGATACTGGTAACATGAAGAGCAGTTTCTTAGAAGATTCCGACATGAACAACTGTATATAACAGTGACTCTATTGTTTATCGTATAGAAGTTATGAAAAATCTGTGGCCTTCAGGGTGCTCTCGCTAAGACAAGGCACTGTTATCACTACCGTTGGTAAAATGTTTCTTTGTTTTTAAATACTTTTGTATTAGACCTTCACTTAGACCGGCACACTACCGCTACACTTAACGACATTTATATTTTTTTCGTTTCATTCATTTCGTATTTTTGTCTCAATTAATTTGCACAAGCAGTAAAATAAATATCATAAATAGAATTGCATGCCTTTAGGCCGATTATGGAGATAACAAACCTATTTAATGTATCCATGTTGTCATTACCCATTTTCGGAATAAATGAGTTTTAGGTGTATTCGAGTTTGAGTAGACTTGTATCCTTGTAGCACGTTAGCAAAGTTTCATTCTATCAGATCCACGTTTTGCATGAATGCGTATATGTAATTAGTTATTACTACACGTTGATGAGTGTTGACATGCTGTTTTTGTTCCTTTACTTTCGTCAGCCAAGGTCAAGAGAAATAGCTAACAATTGTGTAAATTATTGCATGTTTCGCTTTTGCACATATGTTAGCTGTTAGTTTAAAAGCAAATTAAACGGTTCTTGACTACTAAGAAGAAAAATGAAATTTTAATTTAAACAGAGTTGAAAAAAAGTTCGTAGCTTTCTAGTAGGAACTTACGATTAAGATTTAAATGAATTACATCCAATTGAATTTTTACGGAAGGACCAAATTTGTAAGGTACAGTGACTCAATACATAAATTGTAAAAGTTGAATCCTTATTTTCTCAATTGAGCTGCTCGCGTTTCTATCTAAGTATTTGTTTATAGAGGTCATTAGTATTGGGGCAGCGCAGTGATTATTATCCTGATGATAATTCTGAAATGCTCTGATATGCTCGTGCATTTAGATAACTAAGAATTTATTAAATAGGGCAGCGATTTTCCTATTTTCTGGGTATGAGTAAGAGTGACTGATATATGGGTATCCATAGACCAGTCATCTTTCAAGATTGCCTACCTATTAATGGCAACTGCGAAGAAAAATATCAAGAGGTACATGAGTATAGTGCCTTTGACCTACAATTTTTTTTTTATGTAATAGCTCGGCAAACGAGCAGACGGATTACCTGATGGTAAGCAATCAGCGCCGCCCATGGACACTCGTAACGGAGGAGTTACGAGTGCGTTGCCGACCTTTTAGGGATTAGGGATTTGGAGATTTAGGGATTGAGGAGGGTTTGGGAAAGAAGAAGGATTGGGCCTCCGGTAACCCCGGCGAAACACAACGCAGTGGTTATTTCACGCCGGTTTTCTGTGAGGCCGTGGTATCACTCCGGTCGAGCCGACCCATTCGTGCCGAAGCATGGCTCTCCCACACTTTAAACAACGGGACAGTTGGACAACGGGACAATGGGACAGTTGTAGGCTAATGTAGTGGCGGATGAGCGGTGAGCGTGCTGGCCAGCACCCCTGCTTATTTTTATGAGATTCGCTTCGAACTCTTCTTAATTGTAATAGTTTTAAGTCTTAAAATGTAGATAGTATGTCATTTAAAAACAAATTGAAATATTTTTTTTTATTTGTGTACTTACCTATTTGTGAAATTGTAAATTTGGAGGTAGAGATACATAATTACATACTTCAAACTGGTAGACTGGAACATACGTCTACTGACTGACTGAACAGCACACTTCAAAATCTTCAGACTAGTTTTTGTTTCAGCAATCCAGTACTGAAGTAAAACTTTATTTCCAAACATAAAAAAAATTTGAGTTAACCTTTCATTCTTATGGAAAATCCTTGACTACATTGTTACAGCGGGAAGTTACTATCACATATGTATGGTATAAGCAGAAAAATATTCTCACAAGAACACACTTTTAATAACTAGCATTGTTCTTTAGTTGTACACAATGTCGATTCAAAACCAAGGGTCGTCGATATGAATTGCCAACTTGTTCAATGTAACCGTGGGAATCTTTCTTGGTCACTATGAATTTTTTCTTCGTTTTACAGGAAGTATCTGTTTTGGGAACCGTTTAGTGAATTGACGTCTAATGACATTTTTAGATTGCTACCTTTTTAATATATGTATCTGCACAGACAGATGGAAGTGAAGGGAAGGATTGTAAATAATGGATGACGTCGAATTACACGATCAGGATCATGATCAATTTAAAAAAAAGAAGTATCTAATGTGTCTTAACATTAGTATTTTATAAATACCAATCTTTTAAATTTATTGATCGGTATATGTAAAAACCTATCAATAAATTTCTGCCATCATCCAGCATTTCGTTTTCTCGTTTTGTGTACTATAAAAAAAACAATAATTCCCTGATAATAGTTAGAGTTTGTAAGTATTGAGTTGTATAACAATTTTTTTTTATATTTTTTATAATTAACTTTTTTATGATGGCCACTATAACTTCGTACTAATGAAGTATCCAGTTCCCATTACAGTAAAATCCTCTTTATTTTTATTTGTTGTAAAACGTGGTTTCGATTAAGGCGTGACGTAGCAGAAACTTGTGGTCATTCGAATGTGGGCCAAGTGTTCTTTAAATATAACGTGCATAATAGAGAGATAATTTAGTATGTATATGATATTAGGTATATTACCTAGCAGATTTGTAGTAATGGTCATTATCGCGTAAAGATATTGATATGTGCTACTAGTGGTTATATATATATCTATAAATTATATGTATTTAGCTTAGCTTTGTCGCTTTGAGCCCAACAGCAGCTGCAGGGCCAGTTATGATTAATAATTACAGTTAGGTACTACAATATTTAAAAGGTAACAGCTGCCTACTTAACATTGATAGGAAAAAAATGTTTTTATGTTTTGGTCAAGTTACGTATACTAAATGCGTAGAAATCACACTTCAGTTCTGCGGCTTGAATACACAGGAAGAAGGTTTATGCCGACGAAAAATTCAATGCAACGTTTCTCGAGTGTAGCGGTCATTCGACATTCGTATCGCGAAGCGCGCCAGACGCACGCGCGAGTTCGGCCGTTGCGTTTTTACGCGGGAAATATTTACGTCATTGTTTACGTGAACTATAGACAATACTGCATGAATGAATATCGATAAAAAATAATATAATTACCATGGATTACAAAATGGAGATTGTTGCGCTGCTTTTATGCGGTGAGTTGTTAATTAGTAATTATGTTATCTAACGATAAGGATAAATAAGTGTTAATGAGAAAGCTAATTGTAAAAAATGTTAACTGTGACTAGGTTAAATTTTTTTATAGTTTTTCTTGGTATTTTCCCAAAAAAGGCTTCAGTTATTAGGTTTCTTTGGTTGGTTTCTTAGGTCTAAAATGAATTATTTTGACTTTTTAGTACAAAATGCTATTATAAACATAAGCTATTATAAATTATAAACATAGTTTTATTCATTAATTTGCCGATACAAGTAATTTTAAAACTGACTTTTAAGAAATAAATGAGTTATTTAACGTATAACTTTATACATCATTTATGATTGCAATTTCATACAAAGTTAAAAAGAAAGTATCGTTTTTTGACATTTGAATAAAAGTATTGAATTTGACTAGTCGGAAACTACCCTATCATGTTCCATTTTCCAATTAATCAAACTTTTAAATTAAGTACATCCTGAAAAGAAAGAACTTAAAGAATATTTATTTATTTATTTATTTATATATTCTTTATTGCACACAACATTAAAATTTAATACAAAGAGCAGGCTAACAATCACAGAGTGTACAATGGGCGGTCTTATCACTCACGGTGATTTCTTCCAGACAACCTTTGGATGGAAATTACAAAGTGAAACTGGAAATGGGCAGTCTAGTGCACAATAAATACGGGAGAGAGAAAAAAAAAGAAAAAAAAAATAACAATATAAATAACGTATAAACTTACATACAGACTCATACACATATTTATATTTCTGAAAAAAAAAACGCGAGCTAATGAACAGCAAACAATCTCGTAACACAAGATTTATTTAAAATTTATACCAACGTATGCAAACAGCGGAATCACGCTGAAGGGACTTCAGTTATGCACTCGAACCTCTGTTTAATTATGTTAATGACTGCGGCCCTCCTTTACCGTCCATTGTTACACAAGGATCTGACAAAGATATTTCTTTGTTTACACTTTATTTAGCAATATAACAAAAAAAAAAACGGTATTTTATTACCAATGGGAATGATATTAGATACCACAAACAAGTGGATTTCACTAAGTCGACCCCTATTTCATTACTAGCTTCTACCTACGTATTTTGATAAAAAGTTCCTCCTTTACCGTCCATTGTTACACAAGGATCTGACAAAGATATTTCTTTGTTAACACTTTATTTAGCAATATAACAAAAAAAAAAACGGTATTTTATTACCAATGGGAATGATATTAGATACCACAAACAAGTGGATTTCACTAAGTCGACCCCTATTTCATTACTAGCTTCTACCTACGTATTTTGATAAAAAGTAGCCTATGTCCAATTCTGAAGTGTATCCTATGCCTGTGCCAAATTTCATCCAGATCCGATAAGCTGTTTTGGCGTGATTGAATAACAAACATCCAAAAATCGTAACTTTCGCATTTATAATATTAGTAAGATATATTAAGAGCCAAAAACAATAAAGTGAACGTTATATCATTACTTATGAACCACCACAGTAATAGTCAAGTTTGTTCTCATTTAACTCATTGTCAATGCCTTCTGAAAAACTGGCTGGTTTTACGAACAGAGTGGTTTAAGTTAATTGCAGTTGTGTCGCGATCGTAATTACACTTAGCGTTCGTTGCCAAGAAAACTCAATGTTGTCTTGTGTACTTATTACAACGTTCACTTCTTATAAATTGTTATAATTTATTTTTTCCTTGAAATAAAATGAATTGTTAGGTAAATTCTTTGTTAGAAATAGTTATTGACCTTGTATGCATTTCACAGAATATACGAATTTACGTCGTCTGTCTAAGTAGGTGTCTAATTAACGGTTCTATTACAGTCGATTTCTAGAAAGTAAATCGAAATGTATTCTTATTATTAATTGTCAATTCAATAATGATTTCCAATTATACCTGAGGATCGAAACTACGTATTATGATGATTGGTTATTAACAAACGCTGATTACGATCAATCAGGTACCTATCCAATTTATTCAAATTTAGAAAATCGAATATTAAAACCATATGTACGTACCCATATAATATACCTTGAACTAATATTTTGAAAGAACAGAAACATAAAGTGTCGCTTAGTTTATTTATCCAGATTTAGTACCTAAATGATATGCATTTTTTAATGGCTTTAACATTTTCATCCAAATAATTCATAATAAGTTTAAAGGGTATATAAAATATGTAAGTAGTAATGTAGGAAGTAATAGGATGGGGTGCTATTATTACCGAATGACGAAATCCCTTAAAGAGAAATAAAAAAAAAAACATCACAAACTTTCGCAATTATGACATAATGATGAGGATAACATAGTTTTACCCGGTAAGACATATTTTTAACTCTGCTTTTAAAAAAAAACAAACAATTATATAATAATTATTTTTGATAAATAGCCACAAGTCGCATCGATATTAAACCTGTTTTTCGATTTTAATATTCTCGAACGTGAGAGAGAGGAACTTTGGTTTTGTATGATGTATTAGGGCACAATACATTTGCATAATACTCAGTTGCTTCTGTCGCAACTGTTATGTGAAGATAAAGTAGGTACGAGTATAACCAACTAAGAAGTGGGTGGATAACTGTATCGCAATTTTGACGCCAATGTCTTTTTTTAATGTACTGTCGACATCACACGATATGCGGTTTCATATAACTTTAAAATGTAAAACAATCCACTATGAATTTGTGAATAAAGATTCCGTCATCGTCATGAACTTAAATTACTTTATCTTGCCGTGACCAACAGTATTTAGGACTTGGTATTTTACTGTGAGAAACGATTGGTAAATAATTATAGAGCGGCGTTAATAATTAAGTATTTTAACGTACCATTACAATTGTTTTAGTTTCATTTCGGTAATTTTGTGTGTGATGGTGCTCACAATCTCAGAATTTACAAAACATTTGGAGACTGATTTATTTGCTTCTTGCACTGTGAGAACTTCTTTTAGTACTGTTATCAGTCTATCAAGTATCAAGACTAAAGGTCATCTGAAGGTAACCGATAACCTTGTATACCATAGGCATAACAAGTGTGTTGGCTACCATGACCATTTATTATTAAAAAAAAATTCATGCCTGAAAAGACGGCGCAATTAAAATGGGTTACGATTTTGCCCACGCTTAAATTCCGAACATTCTTATTTTCTCCTATATAAATACTATACGCTTATGTCAGATATTATCTGTTATTTGATATACGATTAGAATAGCAAAAAAAGTGATACAGTTTTATTAAGGTAGGTGTGGTACTTGCATATGTACAGGAAACGGATGTACGTAAGTTCTCGGATGTAATAAATTGTTCGTATCTCTACTTGTACCTACTGAGATTAAGTAGGTACGCTAATCGACAGTACTCCACTCGTCTGATGGACACTTGTAAGACAAGGAAATGTTTTTTCTTTTTGTCCGCATCTAAATAGCTTTCTCCTAGGAGTAAACGTAATGAGCTTATTCTCATTTCCGCAATTTAAATATATGACGAAGAAAGACACATTAAACGTGGTTTCCAGATGAAAATGATGATGATGGAAATTGTAACAATTTGTGGCAATACTATGAACATATATCATCATCCAAATGATTTACTGAGAAGTAAATAATCGCTCGTAATATGGCTTGATGAATTCAAGGTGATTTGAAAGTAACATATATTATAGCACTATTTAATTTCATTACTGTTTAAGAGACTATCGCTAGTTCCAATATCAAATGTGCTAAATTAGATATTAGAAGTTCAGACACGCCAGTAACCCCCGCCCGGGACAGGAGAAGGATTGGGGTAGATTCTAGTCAGTGTCTGACACTCCCGCGACACCTGGAGCGGGAGAAGCCATTTGATGATTTCCGCTAAAAAGTCTAACAAAAATGAGGCAGTGTTATGCACATAAAATATGATCAAATGGTACATATATTAGAAACTATGTAAATTTATGGGAGTTTGATAAATGCACTTGCAAATCCTTATTGCTTCACTAAATGCTCTTACCATTGGTAAGTGGATCCATTATGGTGATCAATTGATTTGTCTGCTTTTTTGCCTTATATCCCATAAATATCACATGATATACATACATAGGTTCTGTTCTCTTCTATCTACAATTTTTTAACCCTTGATTTTCACCTATGTTTATAAACATTAAAATTGGCATACAGATCACACCCAGACCCAGATCAACTATTTGTGGATCACACAAAGTATTGGATCGTGCGGGAATTGAACCCCCAAGACATTGCACAGTAGCCAGTTGCAACTAAAAAATAAGAGTTAAAATGTTTTTATTAAAATGTAAATAAATACATATCAGTGTCGACAACTTTGCTAAACCAATGCTTCTGCTCTGTTTTTTGCTGGTTTTGTGTGTCTACGTGCCTGTCCTTGTCACGGCTCATAAGTAACTGAATACCGCAATGGTTGACCAGTTCAGCTGTTGGATGTTACCACATAATCCATTTTGTTTGATCAGTACGTAATTTTCGTCATTTTGTCGTTTGTTTTACTTTCAACGATGATATAATAAATATTAAACGATTGTGTTGAAAGATCGGTATTTTATTTTCGTTTTTATCGTTGGAGAGTTTTCGATTTACATGCTTTATCAAACATTTTATCTATTTTATTTACTCTATAATAAAAACGCTTATAAATAATTTAAGTTTTAACTGTTTTTCGAAAGTTTATCTAAAAAATACAGTTATCTGTCTGTGTGTTAAAATGCATTTCTAATTAAAAGCACTGTCAGCGATAAATATATGCACTACATTCATTCAAGTATCTCTTCATTAAAATCATGGATATATTTATCATAATCACTCAATCCAAGCTTCAGCACGATTGGGTCAGCTCAGTCGGTGTGATACCACGGCCTCACGGAAACCGGTGTTAAACGACCACAGCTTTGTGTTTCGCCGTATAAGTAAGTTTACCGGTGGCCCAATCCCTCAATGTACTGCGGCTTGGCTCGGAATAGAAGA